TAAATATAGAACATACTACGCAAATCATAATAATAACTTTAAAAAAAAACCTAGAAATTGTTTTATACGCTCTTTTCTAGCCTTAATGGTTTAATGGTATACTGGGGACGGATTTAGGAACGAAAATAGGCAGGGGCTGGAAACAAATTCACTTAAAATACATAAAAGCAATAGTCGTAGAGCTAAAGTTTACACAGTAAAAAAAAAAATTCGACACCTGCCAAATACTTCAATTTCTTAGGGATTCAGTATAGGCAAATTTTGTCAAAATCTTAAATTAAAAATACATTTTGAATGTACTTTTACTAATACAGCACTCAGCAGTCATCATGAGTCTTTGCAAGTAATTATTGTTTAAATTATAGTCTGTTTATAACGTCTTTCACAATTTGCCTTCATTATCGCTGATCAGCTATTAACTGTCCTATTTTTCCATCTGCTAGTGTCATTGAGTCCTAATCTAATTGAATTGCTAGCTAATACAGTTTTTGATTTTAATTTGTAACTTTTTTTTAGTGTTTCCATTAAGTTTTATATAATATAAATATAGCATAGGGTGTATACAATTTACCACTAATGTATAAAAATGTTAAGTACATTTAAGTTTGACCGAATTTTGAACTCAGTTCGCCACTTTCAAAAATATTATTACCATTATTTTTAGAGCGTATATAAATAAATAATATCCAAAGTGCCATCAGCTAAACACCTTTGAATACATTGTGTTAGTTAAAATTTCGCTGCGTAACAACATACATTAATAATTTAAGTATCTAATTTAAAATTCTTTGTATTAAACTATAATTCAATGCCGTCCGAGGAGTTAAGAAAATTAAATAAGAAAAGAAAAATAAAGCTCTTTGTGTGCTTTTGTTTGAAATATTAGACGGAACCATTTACATATTTTGTTGAGTCAATTTTGCACAAAGATATCAAGTACAAGGTGATCATTTTTTTATCGTAAACAACTCAATATCTCATTGGGTTTAATTATTAGTCTCCCGTCCTAACTTTTAAACTCTTATGACTTGAAAAATGGTTGGTTATCAGCCAGTCAACATTTTTAGTAAAATATTTTCAATTTAAAAAGTTAATTTAATATAATATACGTTACCGTGTAAGTTTCAAATATTTACATAAAAATAATTAGTTTTGGAGGGAGGTAAATACAAAAAAAACAAAATAGTGAAAAATTGAGATCACATTAGATTAAGAATGTCATTGATCTAACTCGATTAGATTATATGTGGGTGTTCACAACTGGCAAAATTATTTTCTTGCAGTCCTACTGCAACTACATTATATTCGCAGCACTTGTAAAGCCGCAATTATCACTATTGTTTAATTTTTAAGTATACATTTGGACACGCGCTGTGATTTTAAGTCATGGCCGTTTTGAGCGTTTCGGGCGCATTCTTATTGTCAACAACTGAGATTATGATCTATTAATTTTTGGCCTCGTCGGACACCGTCTATTGTGTGTTGTACCTACTTTTTTCACATAAACGGCACTGCAAATTTGTCTAAAGGGCGTAGGTAAATCCGCCATCTAAACGGTCATGTATAAAATATGCGTTAACACACAGCTCAACTATACCTAGATATAGGCCAATGTCGCAGTAATCCCGTCTTGTGTTTTAAGTGTCCGTACATTTTAATTAAACATATTTCGTGTCCACTGGTATTGAGCCAGAAATAGTTCTATAATATGTGGGTCAAGTGATGTGTCATAATATGGAAAAACCGTGTGCATAATCTTACCAAGTGCATCTGTGGGTCGACTGATCTTAAATAGTCTTCAGCCTACCTCATAGAGTAAAAAATACAATTTATAGAGCTGTAACATTTACTCAGCGACGAAGTGACAAAAAAGGCGAGCGACAGTGTGGCCACTTCAAATAAAAATAAATACTCTTTGTGTAGGTCGTAAAACACTGCACACAGTATAATCCTTGTCTATAGAAGCATGTCAATTATAGATAATTTCGAATTTCATTTGACAATGTGATAGTACTAAAGTCTAAAACTGATCAGTCGTATGTTTTGTATTACACGGTTGCAGTAGTGAAACGAATTGAAAATATTATGTACCAGGGAAATGCAATTTCGTCATTCTGGTCACACTGCAGCTCGCCTTTTTGCTTACTTCATAATATCAGGCCCTAGGACACTGATAAAAATTAACACGGGGAAGATACTCATGACACAAAAACGCGACGATCATCTTCTTAAGGCTACACCACTATAATGTTATATCTATACATTATTATTTTTAGTTGTGTATATAGACATAACACATAATGATAACCTCCAGGTCTACCTACAGTTATTTCCGGCGACCAAGTGTAATTTAATGGGTCAATTGTGTCGTGTACCTAAATATAAATGTACCTACTCAACATGCGAATGAAGGATACATTTTGCATCAACGCAGCCAACTAGAAAAATATACTCGCATAACCGTTGCGGTAAAATACAATATTATTTCCTGTTTGAACGAAAAATGTGAACAATTTCGTGAAAGTAAGTAATTGAGTCATGATTTAATAATAACATTTGAAGAAAAAAAACCCAATGCATTGATGAGTATTACACGCCAAGGTGAAGAACACCTGATTATATTCGTATACCGGAAGTGAACAACGGGAGTTCCAACGTAGGAATACAATAATAATAATAGTAATAATAATATGTTGTCTTATCTAAATGACCGTGGCACTAGAGAATGTCAATAAAACCCCCGGGTACTTGCAATTATTAGAAAAAAAACGATTACACACAATTGTTTAAGAAAGGTCCTCGACCTATGAGAATTGATCTTTATGTCGCTTCTTTTCAACGCTTTCCAACACAAAACATTTATTTAACACAATTATTATGTAATATGGAAGCAAAGGAATGTTTTTACTTTTGTTATTTGCAAGCTTGACATTTCCAAACTAGTTTAAGTCGAAAATAACTCAAACAAGAGCGGTCCGACCAAAACAACAGGTAAATAATAGAAAATATTTGGCCGGCTTGCTTTTTTTCTAGGCCAACTATTTGTGTAGAAATATTATCTAAAATGAATACTTCTAGTTTACTTGTTTACAAAAACAATTTTCAAAACTTAACACTCTGATCAAATTCAACTCATGTAAGCAGATTATTAGCTTTTTCTAGAAAATATTCCACAGAAAATTAAATTCTCACACAAACTGCAACATAGGCAATTTTACTATCTCTCCGAAATCAATATCAGCCACACGCCCACAACCCTCGGGACGCCCAAGCAAACATGGTTTACATTATATTGATATTTCACACAAAGCCCTCATTTCTAATATTGGTGCTTATTACTACTTTTGAGCGATTGTTAACGAATAGTATCATTTATCAAATTTTGCTTATGACTGCCAAAAAATAATACTTTTACAATAACACTTTGTCAGGGTGCCTTATGTTTTTTGAGTGTTATAAGCACATCATCCTATTTGTTTGGGGCCAATTTTCATTCCTAGAGCAATTAGATAATACAGTAGTTAAAATTTATTTGACCGGTCATCAAAAATAAAAGCATAATAACAATTAAACATTTAAAAAAAATGTCTACAACGCTCTCACACAGTCACACATACTTATTTTTTAATTAAAAATTAATCCCAATTTATTTTCATTTGACAAGGTCGTGGTTTTGGGCTGGTTAATTATTATCATATTAACATTAAATAAAAATTATTAGTAATTACTTTCGAGACGTAGTACGTACTACAAACTGATGCACAACTATAATCGGTTAATTATTAATAAAATAATAATTCTCAGAAGTACACTACAAAGAAAGATTTATAAGACTTTTTTCTTCAAGTATTTGTATTATTTAGAAGGAAAAAAATGCTATTGAACATAAAACTATAACGTTTCATAAATACTAATTTGCATATAATATTATGTGATAAACTTCAAACTTTTTTTAACATAACAAAACTTAATTAGTAGAAGTGTCTATGGGCGATTAAGACAAAAATAGATATTTCCTTCACATTACATACAAAAAATAATTTTGAAGCTCTCTCACTTGTTTTTATACATATGATGGACTAATTATTACAATAATACACTTTGTGCAAATGTATTCCTCGCTTGTTCGATCATGTAGTAGTGTAACAGTACCGTTGTATATTATTATCTGATATATTTGCTCTAATTGAAACGAGTTTACTGCCTTAAGCCCCCCCCCCCGGAAAAGACGAATAGTGAGCTATAGGTATAACACAGTGAAGAATAATGGATAGCTTTAAGCAAAATAATTAACAGTTTCGATGTGTGTACCAGAAAATAGAACCTCGAGGTTTTAATTATGATACATTGTATACAATATAGTAAATTTAAATTACATTAATTATCTTCTGCCCCTGTCTTACATATAGATTGCATAGAAGGGTTTTCCAGATAGAGAGATTTGCAACTTTTGTTTTTTTGCCTTGAGACTTGCGCCCTTTCTTAATTAGGACTTCCGCATCATCTTTAATGCATTATTATTATCAATATTATTATAATAGGCGTGAGCAGAACAACACTAAACGGTGGTTTGACATTTATCGACAAAATCAAACTGCGTTTGCGTTTTGATTGCTTGCGGACTTTCTATTGAGAAAGTAAGTGGTAGTACCTTTGGGCACACGGACAAAACTGTGCGACTGGACGTTGCGCGGCGGTTGCAATCCGATTACGATACCGACGCAATAACGTGCCGAAAACGGCATCGGAAAACGTCAATGCAGTTTTGACTGGGAAAACGCGCAATTTCGGGTGTCTACAACAACGTGTGTACTATGCAACAACGGCCGCCCGGGTGACAGCACGGCGCATTATCGATAACAATCGCCGGTAATGCGTAATGGACGGACGACGACAACACACCGGCACACGGAATACATCAATCATCGACCGTAACCAAGTGCGCAACACACGTGTGTTTTAGGCGTTTTATTGTTGTATGTTTTATTAGGCGACGATGCGGGCGCCGACGGATTGAAAATTTACTTTCGCGCGTACGGTGAAAGCAAAGTGTGTGCGCGATCGAATCCCGCGGGTAAACAGCTGTAGATAACATATTTTTCTGATCAGAACGCCATTTCCGCGAGTCCGTCGTATAACAACAACGACGACGACGACGGCGGTAGTTCAATCACACATGCTTTACCATAATATTTGTACTACATGTTTACACGTCCGAACGCCCGTTTCTCCGGCCACCGCACCGGTCAGGCGGGGTGTCCGCCAACGTCATACACGCACATGTATACTCACACGTTTATTGTAATAATAATATGTGTATATGTTGTTACTCATCATCGTCGTTGTGGTCACTCTCAGAACGTGGCAGACGCGAGTTAACGAGTGAGAGAGAGTGAGAGAGAGAGAGTGAGAGGGATCTTGTCCATAGTAGTGGTAATTGTGCCGCCGCCTCTCGGTAGTGGTGGTGCCGGCGGCGGCGGCGGCGGCTCCTGAGTCTTGCCGCCGCTGCCGCGTATCGGCGCATAGCTAGACGGTAGACGCCACTATACCGTGGGCCGAAGTGGTAGTCGCGCGCTCGGCCCGATTCGTGGTACTTTTTTTTTAAAATTCGACGTTGTCGAGTTCGCAAAGGCAAAAGCCATTCGTGGTCACGAGTGTGATATTATTATGTGCCCGCCGTTTTCGACGTTTAAGCCCCGCAGTACCGACCGTGGGAGGCCGTAACGCTTACGCCACCGTGTGTTCCGTTTACGCGGTCGTTAGTCGTTTTTTTTTTTTTTTTATACAACAAAGTTTTTCCTTTTTCGAAATCAAATTTGACGTAAAAAAAATAAAACGAATTACAGAATCGTTAAAGTAACGTATAGTTAATTAAATCGACATGGCGGCGTCCGGCAATAGTACCGATACGACGGTTACCAGCACGTCGACTTTCGCCGTCGTCGACGAGATAACGATGGCCAAAACGCTGGCCATGATCGTCCTGGGCTTGGGGTCGTTCGTCCTGGGCGTCATACCGATCAAGTTGGCCAAGTGGTGGCACAAGGAACCGGCGGCCGTCGAGGCGGCGTCGTCCAACTCTGCCGGACACTCGCATCACCACGGCGCGGCGTCCTCGTCGCCGGTCGTGTCGCTGTTGCTGTGTTTCGGCGGCGGCGTGCTGCTGTTCACCACGCTGCTCCACTTGCAGCCGGAAGTCCGGGAGGGCGTGCGGAATCTCCAGGAGGCCGGCATGTTGCCGGACGGCTTGAGCAGCCTGGGCGATCTGATATTCTGCGCCGGGTTTTTCCTCGTCTATTTCCTCGACGAGATCGTGCATTCCGTGCTGGACAAGTGTTCCGTCGACTCGGACGACGACACCGAAGCGGTGCTGCACAGGTCGATGAGCCTGCGGCGGTGCACCATGTCCATACCGAGGGCCTCGCTGACCGGTTCGCCGACGTCCGTGCCGTCTGTGACGGGCGCGTCGACGGCCAGCATTAACGAGCTGCTGAAAGAGTCCAAGGACAAGCGGTACCACGCGTCGTGGAAGAACCGGCAGATCAGGGACGCCGAGGAACAGACCAAACCGGCGGCGGACGCCGGCCGCGGCACGACGGCCAACCGATCGTTCCGCGGTCTTTTCGCCGTGCTCGCCCTGTCGTTCCACGAGATATTCGAGGGCTTGGCCATTGGATTGGAAGAGCGCATCGAAAACGTGTGGTACCTGTTCATCGCGGTGGCGACGCACAAATTGGTCATAGCCTTTTGCGTCGGACTCGAGCTGGCCTGGTCCAAAACCCGGGTGCCCGTGCTCGTCATGTACGTGGCCACGTTCGCCGTCGTCACGCCGGTGGGCATTGCCGGCGGCATGTGGCTAGTGCGGTACGGCGCGAGCGGCACGATCGACGGATCCCCAGGCACGGTGGCCGTGGTGCTCCAGGGCCTGGCCGCCGGTACGCTGTTGTACGTGGTCTTCTTCGAGGTGCTGGCCAGGCACAAACAGTCCGGATTCCTACACTTGTTGGCCATCCTTACCGGATTCTGCATAATGCTCACGCTGCAACTGACAAGTAAATAAAGCACAACATACTTACTTTAAATAAGAAATAGGTCGTTCAATGTAAAAGTGGTGAAACTTGAAATTTTAAAAATACATATATTATTGCTTGATGGAGTCACATTTAGTCATATATTTCATTATAAAAGAGACGCAACTGCAAAAATAAATAGAAAGCACTGAATGAATAGGTACTTGTAATTCTTTTCTACACATTAATTTACAAAAATATCTTTGTTTCAAAAATCAATCACTTTTACAATGAACGACGCTAAAAATAGTAATAAAAGTATAAATCTATGAAAGTTGATAGGCTAAAAATGATGCTACATTGGTAACTTGGAAGTAAAATCTATTGAACCTATTTTGGTGAAAAGTTCTCTGGTGGGAGTTTCTGATTTCACCCTTTCAACCCTCAAATGTATTTCAAAATAGGTAGTTTATATTTTATTGCATACATTTTAAGAATTAATCATAAACTGTGTGAATATATGCTACAAAAAAAAATGGTTTTTATTCAAACGATATTTAAAATGAATTATACAGAAAACAGATCATAATATGAATATTTTATTACTATTACTTGTTTAATTTATGCATTACTTAAAGTAGCCTTAATGTCAATGTATATTGTAAACAGTGTGATTCATTTACGAGGTATGTTTTGGTACCAAGACAGTGTGTTAAGATTAAGTAATATCATCAATTAAATACTGAATTTTATAAACAGACAACGCTAATGTAAAAAATTAATAAAAAAACTAGTAATCTTTACCATACCGATTATATCCGGTTAGAGTTTTTTTTTTAGTGAATCATAAGCGGAAATCCCGTCAGATTCTTTGGTAGCATTCGATTTCACAGACTCGAGAAAGCTTCCCGTTCAACCAACTCATACAAGGTTGTTAACTTTGCCAAGATAGACAATATTTGTCTTAGTTATTAGTCTTATTTTGTTATTAGAATTTTGTCTTATTAGAATCACTATGGCATCTAGTAGGGCAGTGAAGAATCTGAAACATAATAACATAAACATACTTTTTATAGAATTTTTTTAAAAATAATTGTCTTAAAAATTAAAAACCTTTTAAAGTCTACTGCCTTGGCAAGCGTTTTTTTTAACTTGTATCATAATATTAATACATAATTATAAGTTATACTTGCGAGTATAAATGGATTTTTTCATTTCTGTTAAAAAAATCAACAACATAATATTCGATTCGTCATGTCTGTTATTTGTATTTCCAAAATTATTCTGATATTTAATAATATTATCAAGGCTGATCCAGATGATATGCTATATTATCATTTTGAGTGCTATCATTTTTGTGTCCAGGGTCACGAAAAATTCTCAAAACGTGTCTTTTTCTTATTACTTCAGACGGTTTTGCATTATTCGTGATTGTTGTCTACATTTCATTATATTATTTTCGTTCCCACGATAAAACCTGGTCGTATTGTAATGCGTTTTTCCGTATCTATTTAGTAATATCATGTCGGCTCGTTGACCTCCAGAATTATTTTCCCAAGCCACCAGTTCAGTTCAGTACAACTGTCCATAGGGACAGTTTGTTTTTCATTAATTTCCGGTCAAGTACGCCATGTTAATATCTTTTAAATAATAGAAATTAGAATAGAATACATCATCGAGTGAAAATATTTACAGAACTGTAATTCGAAAAATAAACTTGAATTTCATATGATAATGTGTTAACATTGTAACTGATAAAGTGATAAGAAATATGTTTTGTGTCGCATGGTTGCAATTGGGGAAAAAATGTTTAAATGTGTACCAGATTAGTGTAATTTTGACATTCTGGTCACACTGCAGCTCGTCTTTTCGCTAACTTCATACTATTTTACTTACTGATGTACATAACACAGACATATACACATAACTAAAATGAAATCAGTGTGACCACAGATCGAGTATAAAATTTCGTGTAATGTGTTTCGTTATAAAAGTAGTAGTTATCATTTAAATATTATGGTTGATAAGAAGTGTGTGCAATTATATTGTAAAATAACTGCACAATAATTTATTAAAGCAAGTATAAGAAAGCAATAACATAACGATATTAACATATAAGGATTTTTTTTTTGGTGAAACATAATTAAATGTACGACAGGTAATTCATCTATTTTTTTTTTATAAAGACTACTTCATGCATTTTTACATTTTGCCGTGATGTCATGGTGACGGTATTGTAAAAAAAAAAAAAATTGGTTTCTAGTTATTCCTTATCTTACAGTGTAACGAGCGCTCAATAAAATATGTAAAAAAAACTAGTAATAAATGCAGTAGGTATGTGTATAAAATATAAATGTATGTAGCTCAGAGTGTTGTACAGAATAATAATAATATGGTTGCTGTATAAAAAAACCGGCTTCGTCACAAATATCCATAAGTATCCCAATTATCATTCTTATGTACTGATATAAAATATGTCGTTTACTAGGTTATGGGTACGACGTACGTTAAAAATATCTTTCACTGTATTATCTGCCTTTGGCAACTTGTTTCGGTTTCATATGACAAAATTCTCATAAAAGCTCTAAAATATTTTAGAATCTATCCACGACAGCGTTGAATTCTGAATAATTTAGAACGTACAAGCATACCTACACCTATTTTTATATATAAGGTAAATGGCTCACAGTAAAGTAAATCATGTGATTTCAAACCCATGTCAATAAAATGTTGTCTCAGCTCTTATATTATTTATTGCGATCACAGATGTATAAATATAATAAACTTATAAACTAGATTGCTAAGTGTACACGTTGCCAATAGAGCAGTAAAGCCAATAATTGCAGTTACAATTTCCCGTTATCTTTGTGGGAATTAGAACCTTATCACATGTTGACATCCGTTATCACTGTTTATAAAAATGAAAAGTTGAGTTGATATCTATACTGTATCATAGACTTTATGCACACATAGATCCCACAAAAATGGCCGACGTCGACTTTAATTCTTATCATTAGTTAGCAATCTAGTTTTTTTTATGTATATCTGTGAGCGCGATTGTGAAATGTAAAGATAAATTACTTGGATTTTTTTTTCCTAAACTTATCTGGTTTATAATAGAGAGAAATAGTAAATGAAAAAAAAATTGACTCGAGTGGATACTTTCACTGAGGCAATAATTGATGTTTTTTTTATTCAAATCATAATTCAATTTTTTACCGATCATCAAAATCTTCTAATAAGTTTTATACTACATAGCTTCCTCGTCATGGCCAATTGACCTTTAACATTATAAACGATGAGCATGTGAGGTAATTAAGCGCATATAGTCGACTGGGATTCCATTGATGAATATTAAACAGTGTTAATTAATTGTTTTTTATATCATAATTGATACACAGGTTTCTCTAATGTTATTTCAACCCAACAGCAATAAGTAATTAAACTAATGTACGTGTATTAAAATTGTTGTGCAATTGGAAACAACATATAAATCATAATTAATGTATTGCTTATTAGTATATATATATATATATATATATGTATATCTTTTAGTGTATAATAACTGTCAATTACCAACGTCTTCGGTATAATTGTGGTTCAAGGACTTTAATATTTTTCAATCATAAAACTCAATTTTGAATTGGAGAGTAAGACCAAAATTGTATATACTTTGTCAGATTTTGCAATGAAATTATGTGTGTATGTCCCTGAAGCATTACTCTGGAACACTCGGATCATTTGCAACCAAACTTGATGAAACTTGCGCTTGTATGTATAATAATATGACACAATTTATAGGGAAGGCATTGAGACTCAAAGGGGGGTAAACCTTAAAAGTATAGGAAATTGTGTGATAAAAAATATAACAGAAACTCCTATATAAAATGAATAATAACTACAATTTTCTCGGTCAGACAATAACCAGTTTCTTCTCTTGGTTGCAGTCAATCTTAATGATAATTTTGGCACAGTTCAAGGCTAAACGTTTATGATTGCCAATACCGTTCTCATTCCTAATGTCACAACTGCATCGGTACCGTCGTCTGACGAGTTTCTCTCTGGTGTTCAGATCTTTTAGATGATTTTTATTTCATTATAACAATATTATACTCGTGTACAATTACTTTTTTTGTTTGTACTACGAGCCATAATATTTTTCTTCTGTGTAGTAGTCTCATGATTGATTCACGGGAATTCTATTATACTATTGCCATGTATAACTTGGTATTACTCATCCGGACGGATTTTTTTTCTTTTTTAATTGTGTACTCAGGCTCGATGATTCACGGTCACCCTACAGCCAGTCACGTATTTGGCTTGTGCACACTGACCGGCTCTGGGCACAAACAAAAGAGATTTAAAATTTGGTGTACATTCCGTCATGCGTATTACAAGGCATAGGCATTCTATAGCATTCTACATATATCAATTTTCAACTTTCAGCCCTAGGTATTTGATTGATTCTCTTGTGCTAATACATCATTATCATACATAAATCTTATCCTATCTGGGCCCTGCACGGGTAACCGAAAGCGACTGTGAACGAATTGCGACCACAAACTATACAGTCAGCTTTTTAATTGAAGTCAGCTACATTAATTGAACGCAGAGAGTAAGTTAGTACGTGTACAGATACGGTCAGATTATTTGATTTTCATGTTGTGCTGCTGTTCGTTTGAGCAAAAAAAACATATTATCAAAACAAAGTGTACACGTTGAAGGTGGCTAAATGCAATGCATATTGCATCTAATCATGCAAGTCTCTCGTTTAGTGCTTTTAGTAATTCCAAGCCATTGCGTCCTGTGACATTGTGCCAATCACATCATTGATGCTAAGACAGCATTGTTGTGTTTGTTTTAACAATCCTGAACTGATAAGATATTGTGGCCGTTTGATTACAGTACTGGATATTATCTTATTTAGATTATTAATTAAAAAAAAAAAAATTGAATTCGTATCGATTTCGGCCTCAATTTCGTAACACATGATGACCGCTGATAATACGCGTCATGAAAAGGTTAGGTTAGGTGAGGTTAGG